TATTAGATTTAAACGGCTTTGAATTCTGATACGAAGATTAAAAGATTCGTATAAGATGAAAACGTGAGATCGTATGAAAGTTCATTCACTCAGCCAAGTACCTTTATAAGTAGTTAGCGACCACATAACATATTTGTATAAAAAATAGAATTTTCTTCTTGTGACCACAATACAACAAAATTATCAGATATTTTATGTGACCTCTGGGGATAAATCGTGCTCTTGGTTTAATAAAGCCACAAGTCTCTAAGCAAAGCAATCTGAGCTACGGCTTCTATAAATGATTGCTTTGCGAAGTACTTTTATAAGAAAACTCAATAAATATAACGTTAACGTGTATTCAATTTGGAATCTAGTTTCGAATTGCCAAGATCTTATTATCTTTTTTCTGTTATTTTTTTAAATACGTTCTAAACCCAAACCTATATTCATTCAGCCAGTATTTCTACTCATAGAGTATATCCTATACTACAGTACTTTATTTGTATGTTATTTTTTAATCGTTTTATTCACCTATATAAACTTTGAACCTAAAAATTTCTTACACTTTAAAAAACTTAAACAGACAGAGATGCCAAACATTAAACGAATATTATTAGTAGAATAATATAATATTATCGTGTCATTTCTATGTCGCTTTTCATCGCCGTTCTCTTTGTGCATGACATTCAGTCACGGGCACTCAAGAGAGTGAGTGGGATCCGCTTATTATTGCTTTTGTTGTGAGGTTTTCGTATTGTTTTGTTGTTATTGTTGAAAACTTTTCTTGTATTTTTTTGTAATATTTTTGTTGATGCCATCTTTCGAAAATGAAACAAAGTGCAAGTGCCTTGAAGTACAAGTACCAAAGTCCGCCTGTACTGAAGAATCAACGACAAAAACAAAATCTTCTTAATCCTAGTGAAAACCAAGTGATTTTGTCAACGTATGGGCAAGATGCGGTTCTCTTTGAAAATTAATTTACATCCGCTGTGTTGCGCACATTTCGCTATTTTACTAATTGTGTGAACATAAATTTAAATTTTTAAACTGTTCATATGGATTCGGTAAGTAATGTTGTGGTTTTTGATTATTTGTGTATTATAATATAATATTTGATAATCGCGAATATAACGCATGTAATGACGCGTGTTAAAACAAGACAAAACAGAATAAATAAGCAACAGAGTGTTTTGACTACCCAATATATATAATATGAATAAAACAATTATTATGGTTACCATATAAATTTAAAAATTATAAAGACTAGGCTGCATGATCTAAAGATCTTTGCCTTTCCACAAGGAAAAGTACGCACCTAAATTTCAATCATTTCAACAACTCGACTGCAATTTTTTTCTTTCACTTATAATTAGTTTTTTCTTCGAGATACCATTCCGAGATGCTAAACATTTAACAAAGTTTATGTCAATGTAGCACGAGAATACTGTGATGAACATTTTAATCAATCAAATGTTAACAACCAGTAGGTGCAATTAAAATAATAATGTGACTCCTTACGCACCGAGTGTAGTGTAGGCATTGACGCATAGAACAGACAGAAGGTGCACTACATATTATACTGTTATAATTACCCTATATGTTAAAGCATATTTAACGCGCGGATCTACATTTCGTTTTTTTAGGATTAGAAAAACGTAAACAAAAAAGCAGACATCGTAAACCTTTTTCTTCAGTTCAGATTACAGCAAAGGAAAACATCAGAATTGAAGAGAAATGGCATATTACAAATTATACGATAGTATGTTAGTATTTTAAAAAAGTTTTCGTTTAATATTTGTTTACCTTGTTGTAAAAACCTTTGAAATACATTACGCCTGTAAAGTTAGAAATTCTTCATTTAATTTATAATAGTGAATGATACGTGTAAAAAACCGTACGGTTTCATAGTATTTATTAACATGCTTTGCTTACAAAATGACTAAACGGAACGATGCCTGATAAAAGACCCAAAATTTCCTTCTGTCTAATGCTAAAAAACGAAGTATAATCTTAGTAGGATAAAAAAAAGGAAAGTATAATGGAAGGCCGACAAATGTCACAAATGTCAAATGTCTTATTGTGGTAGTGTTATAATTTTTTTTATTACTACCAAGTGACGGGACGAGCCAGTAGTATGCCTCTACCGGGTGTACGACTTGCTCGTCCATAACAGTTACAGTGCCACGCAGAGCTTTAAATCGCAAATATCTGAGGAGCCCCAGTGCACCCATCACCCTGAAACATAAGTTGACAAGTCCCATTTGCCTGTAATTTAGCCAGCATCCTTACCCTTC